TCAAGAAGGAATTTTTTTCCTAGTTTGTTGCAAAATTGTGCTTCAAACTGGGTTTTTTTGCCTTCTTTTGGATCAACAGCAAAAAACAAATGTGAGGTAGGCTGAACTTGATGGATGCAAGTCTCTTTTCAGCTATGTAATTATGTAACTATGTGTTGTCACAGGAAAAACTTAACATGAACACAGACTGATCATGGACTTATCAGCACCCCATTCCTCCACGATCCCAAGTCTTAATTCCCTCATACCCTCTGACAAATTCTCTCTGCAATATGCCACTATTGACAATGCCATCTGGGCCACTTTGGCTGCGGGGACAGGAGCATGGCTCAGTGAGATGGATATTCTCAATGCTTTCAAGTTGCTTCCCATTCACCCTTCACTTTGGCATCTGCATGGCATTAAGTGGCGAGATTTTTCTACATTAAATTCCATCTGCCATTTTAGTGCCCAGTCCCCCAATCTATCCAAATCCCTCTGCAGCAAAGCAATATCCTGCTCACACTTTATTACTTTACAAAGATTTGTGTCACCTGCAAACACTGAAACATGGCTTTCAATGCCAATTTCAGGATCATTTATATGCTAGATAGAACGCTGCCGCCAGACTGATTTTCCTCTCTAGTCGGTCCGCGCACACATCACCCCTCTGCCAGTCCTTACATTGGCTCCCTGTATCCTATAGGAGTCAATTCAAAGTGCTAACCCATACATTTAAAGCACTGAACAATTCTAGCCCCTCTTATATCTCTTCACTGATCCATAGGTATGCCCCTCCTCGTTCCCTCCGCTCTGCCTGTGACCACCTCCCTTCCTATGGAATAGCCTGCCTACCGCCATCAGACTCTCCCCTATTCTTCAATCGCTTAAGAAGTGCCTTAAAACCCATCTCTTTAGGAAAGCTCATGGCCTCCCTTACATACCTGTCTCTTGCTCTCTCCTATAGGGCAGTGCTTTACTCTCTCCTCCAGCCCTGCTTCACTTCCACCCTATTTGATTGCTATTCCCTGTCCTAACATGTCTTATACCCCACCTCCTATAGACTGTAAGCCCGTTTGAGCAGGGTCCTCTTCAACATATCGTTTCTGTAAGTTTTCTTGTAATTGTCCTATTTATAGTTAAATCCCCCTCTCATGATATTGTAAAGCGATACAGAATCTGTTGGCGCTATATACATGGCAATAATAATAATAATAATATTAAGTGATAATAATAATAATAATATAAATAATACTATTAATAATAATAATACTAAGTGATAGTAATAATAATAATATAAATAATAATACTAAGTGATAATCACTTATTATTACTACTTGGTGTTATCAATATTATTTTATTATTAGTATTATTATCATCCCTTAGTATTATTATTTATATTACTATTATCACTTGGTGTTATTATTATTACTATTATCACTTGGTGTTATTATTACTATCACTTGGTGTTATTATATATATTATTATTATATTATTATTATCACTTGGTGTTATTATATATATTATTATATTATTGTTATCACTTGGTGTTATTATTATATTATTATTATTGATATTATTGATATTATTATTATCACTTGGTGTTATTATTATTATTGATATTATTGATATTATTATTATCACTTGGTATTATTATTATTTATATTACTATTATTATTACTATCACTTGGTATTATTATTATTTATATTACTATTATTATTACTATCACTTGGTGTTATTATTATTATTTATATTACTATTATTATTGTTATCACTTGGTGTTATTATATATATTATTATATTATTATCACTTGGTGTTATTATTATTATTATTATTATCATTTGGTGTTAT